GGGGTGGGGAGAGGAGGTGAAGGGGAGATGAGGGAGGAGGGGAGGGGGGGAGGAGGAAAGGAAGGAAGGAGGAAGGAAGGGGAGTGAGGGGGGGAGCAAGGGTATGACTTGGGGGTAAGAGAATCGGTTTCACTCTTTGTCACTCTTGAATTGGGGGCGGAGGAATCCAGAAAACCCACTGCAGCATGCTATAAAAAGAAAAGAGGTTAGCGGGAAGAGAGCAAAGAGAGTGAGTGTAGCAGAGAGAGGGGGGGGGGAAAGACAGGGGAGAGAGAGAGAGAGAGTGCAGAAAGAGCTCGCGCCGGTGCCTTAGAGAACACAGTGTCACTCTCTCTCTCTGCCTGTCTGTCTGTGGCTGCCCTGAGTGTAACAGAGGAAAAGGCTGGCTGTGCGTGAGCGTGTGCCTGTGTGTGTAGAGAACCCTGGCTCGGCCTCTGACTCCGGGTCTCCAGCCCCTGGGGGTTGCTCTACGGACTCCCCAAACTAGCGTCTACTAACCTGGAACTGGAGGACGTGTGCTCTGACACAGTGCAGAGACTCAGACAAAAGCCGAGAAAGACAAGGGGAGAAGGAAAGAAAACAGGAGGAAAAACAAAACCCAGACAACTAAACCAGGAGGTGTGGGTGTATATGTGTGGGGGAAATAACCCGACCCTTCCAGCCCTCTGGGGCCCTTGAATTCGGGCTGATTTGCATTGCCCCCCCCCCCCCCCACGACAGATTGGGGGCAGGGACGAAGGAGGGCGGACTTCGAAGCTCCTTCCCAAGTTGTCTGGAGCAGGGCTGCTCAGCTGGGCTCTGCATCACCTTGGGGCACGCCTTCTGGGGTGGGGAGGCGCTTCGCATCTTACTGCCTGAAGAATTTCCCCAACTCCTGAAGAAACCGGCGGTGGTGAAGTGACCTCTGGTCTCCCAACTCCCAGCCTGAATGGTTAAGACTGAGTTTGCACTTTTCTAGGCTACAGTTTTCTGAAGTCACTCCAGGTTTGGGGGACAGTGACTGAGACGCCCCCTCGCTTCCTGCATCTTGGGCTGTTTGCCGGCTCTTTTTGGAAGACAAGTTCTGGGTTTCATTGCTTCCTTGCTACTTCTTCTCCCTCCCCTCCTAGGTTTTTACCTTTCTTGGGGTCCCCTCTTGCCTTGCTGGGGAGATGACCCTTATGATGTGGAATAAGGAGTCCTCCCGCTGCCTCCTTTTACTAGCCGCGGTCCTGATGGTGGAGAGCTCCCAGTTGGGAAGCCCCAGATCCAAACTGAACTCCATCAAGTCCGTCCTGGGCGGGGAGACCCCAACTCAGGCAACCAATCGATCTGCGGCCATCTACCAAGGACTGACTTTCGGCAGCAGTAAGAAGGGCAAAAACCTGGGGCAGGTAGGAAAATCTTCAAAACACAATCATCAGCAAGGAGAGGTATGGGACCATTCTACTCCCAAAGCACTGCTTATGTTTGCGTTGCCGTTAGATCAGGTGTTTGCTGCATTATGGGTTGTCCCTAAGCCGTGGTCTTCTTGATTTGAAAGCCTGTGTGTGCGAGTGTGTGCAGGAGCGTGTGTTCATATATTTTGCCAAGTATAGGATTTTGGGGGAAAAACTTCAATTTAATATAGACATATATATGTACATGACATGTATGTATACAGATCCTTGTTGATTAGTTTCATTTTCCAGAATCCAAAAGCCTCCTAGTTGTCATAGAAATGACATACGACTGCCTTTCTCCCATTCCTACCCCGCCCCCCCCCATGGAGCATAAATGTTAGTTATAGGTAGAGAACGATTTCTAAAGATCTCCGGTTTTTCCCTCCTGAAAAGAAAACTTTAGGAAAAGCAATAAAGTGATGATGCCTGTGTAACCTGGGACAGTCACATCAACACATACACCATTACAGGGCAGGTCAAAAAGCCTGAAATATCTTGAAAGTTTCTGCCTCTGTCTGTTTCTCTGTCGCTTACTGTCACTATCTCAGCCTCTGTTTCTGTGTGCCAGTTTGTGTCATATAGACATGCAGGCGAAAGCCCTCCTCCAGCTCCATGCACACAAGGACGCTCACACACACACACACACACACACACACACACACACACACACACAGATTTTCCTGAGCTTCCTGAATCCTGACACTGGATGGCCAGGAGAGGGGGCCCTGGGGGCATGGGGAAGTCCAAGGGGAGGAAGGTACAAACCCAAATTCTGACTTTCAGAAACCAAAGCAGAACTGAAGTCTCTGGAGGGCACATGGACTTGCAAATGCAAAAGCATACCAGTACACCCACAGAGATATTCAACAGTCAGATCTAGGCTATTCACAGTAGCTTTCTCTTTTTCCTGAAGTAATACTACAACCCTGCTAACCTCAGGGTCTCTGTGGGCTCTTGGCACAAGTGCCTGGCCGAAGCTGGTGCTTTTTTCCATCTCTGGAAAGGGGGTAATCAAGGACAGAAGAAAGAATGGGAGTGAGTTCCTGCTTTGAGCCTAACCCTTTGCTAAACCTCTCCTGGGCATACTTTTGATACAATCTCACAACCCTAGGAAAGCTACTTGTTTCCTGAGGAGACTATCTCTTCATGATCCCCCTAACCAAGCTAAAACAAAAATTGCTCAGGTCTTAGATTCTCCCCACCTTCTTCATTTAGGTCTCAAACAACAACAACAACAGTGAAAACTATCTTAATTGGGCACACTCTTCCTTAACTCAGATTGATGGGCATGAGACTTTTTCCCCTCCACAAAATACATACCCATTCTCACTATCACCCTCTTCCTTTACTTTCCTCAATTTATAACCTTGAAGCATCAAATAAAATGTGTAGAGTATGTCTATAGGACCTACCCTCTCTCTGATTGTGGAAAACAGGTGTAATAGGAGAGTTCTTTTGATGAGGATACAATTGAGGAAACTTTTCTTATAGTGACCCGATCTTATATTTTTTTCTTCTCTACTTGGCCATAGCCTCAGATCAGCATCATCCATAGTCTAGGATAAAACACTTTTGGCGAAGGCAGAGGAATGGACTAAATGACCCCTAGAGATCCCTTCCTCCCAGTCTCACTCCTGGGATGGTGTGATTATTCACCTTGGTCTCCTTTGTCAGCTGAATCCATTGAACCAACACATGAAATCAACTGAGGTCAGACTTGGGGGTTTACCATACAGCCTTGTGTTTTAAAACAACAGCAACCAACAAAGCTCAATGATATCCTGTTTCTTCTGACAGTTTTCTCCTATGAATTGTTTGGTTATTTGCACTTGCTTTGAAAGGTTAAGGATCTTCAGTATGGATATTGCCTCCACCAAAGCAGAGTGTGTAAAACCAGCCCCTTGTAGACTATAGATGTATATTTATGTATGTGTGTATTTGCACATACATACATATGTGTATATTTGAGCTGCTGGTGCTGTACACATAATATTAATTCATCACTTTGTACCCAAACTGGAGAGGAGCCTCTTTGAACGTATATAACCAAGCTGGTGCTGACAGGTATACAGTCTGTTACAGGACCAGGACTTTCCGGCTTCATGAAACCTGAAAAACCTTGTGTTCCACTGGGCATGATCTTTGAGGCCCTGGTAGTATCTTTACTCTATCAAAAGGCATCAGAGTAGGATTTTAGTGTTAGATAACTTCCATTGAATAGCATTCTCCAAAAAATTAGGATTTATTTTTAAAAGTATATGCATATGTATGTATCTATAAAATGAGTATATATAATAAGCATAATACACACTGTATGAAAGCCAAATTAATTTCATGAGCTAAAAAGACACAACTATAGGCAATCACATATACCAATACACAGTATTTCATCCATACTTTCCACATATTGTTGCTGGGGAAATTACAACAGGTGAATTCCTAAACTGCTTTTAGTTGTTCAGTCAAAAGACATGAGAATTATTTTTTACAAACTGCAGCATCTCATTTGTTCAGCAGATGAGTTAGAATATGCAATATCACGGACTAAATTGGATGTCATTAACTTCTGAGTACACAGAACTCTGCTGTTAACAGAGTTCTCTATTATACTTACTTAAATACTGCTTCATTTTTCCTTTGTTGGTGATTAGAAACATGTGATAACACTGTCACTAAATTCCACAATCCTTCAGTCTTCTAAAGGTCTATCATTTCTGAGGCATGGGCCCTTCTTCCATTGAAAATACTGAATTTTCAAATCAGAACACATATGTTTTTGAATATTGTCATTTACCTGAAACAAACAGAAATAATGTCTTTGTGAAAGGAACTTTGAACCACAGTTGATTTGGTGTCATTTGTCGCCTTCATATCAGAATCTAGTTGACTGCGTGCTTAACTGGAAAGATTATGTTGAATTAATCATGATGATAGTAAAAGAAAAATATGTATGTATATACGTATGTATGTATATTACCGAACAGTGATATTTGCAGACTCATATAGATAGAATCTGAGATATAATCAATTTTCCTCAGTCTAAATCTATTAATACCATTCATTCTAGATAAAGGTGGGGCACCCTGTCTTCTGGAACTGTAAAAAAAAAATCTAAAAATTATTTATTATTATAATAAATGTGCCCATGGGAAGGACAATCAGTCTTTACATAATTTCTTAAGTTTCTTTGTATGAAATTGGATTAGAAAACAATTTTCCAGATTTATTTTAAGTATAGATTATAAAAAATGGAAAACAAATACGTCTTTGAAGGGGAAGTTAGATAACTGCCTTATCTTTAAAAATTATCTTGTTAACCATGTATTGAAACTTGTTCTTTCTTTGGCAAATTGAAGCATGTTGCTTACATAAATAGGAGATATTAATGATACTTTTTCCATAAGTAGTTTGATTAATAGTTGCAAAAATCCTGAACAATTTGTCTTTCTTTTTGTTCAAATTATTCACAGTTTCTATAGGTATATAACACTATTCTCCAGGGTTTTGGCAAACAATATTATTTTTTATGTGTAATTTCACTATATATTATCCAATAAATGAGGTAGAAAATTAGTAAAATAAGTATTCAAGTCATTTAAACAAAAAATATCTTTACTTGGGGGAGAGGTCATTTTCATTTCACTTTCGATATTTAGATAAATTAAAAAAGATTGCGCCTCATATATATTAAAGTAAATGAAGCCACTTTGACTTGCTGATTGTTACACATCATTTATTTCACCCAGAATTCCAAAGGGACCAATTAATTTTAGAAAAGAACGCAAATAATTATTAACAAAATAGCCTTCTGCAAAATTATTCTACCAGAAAAAACATTTAATTAGGATTGCTCTTCTTTAAGGTTTGAACTTGAGTTTATGTATTTTCACCCTTATAAGTAGACTTTTTCTTTAAAATTACCTATTCATTTTGTCTGATTAAAAGCATCTTTTCATGTGAAAAATAAACTTTGACTTGATAATTGTCATTTCTTCTTTGTATTATTTCCTGCTTATCTTATATTTTTGAGAGCAACAGCTGAGATTCATTTGAATGCAATGACATAGGATTCTGAAATATTCAAAAATATGATTAAAAAAGAGCAACAAACAAAACATGATTTTAAAAATGCAGACAGAATTTCTGGTCCTTGCCGCTCTAAAATAAAAATGTATGAGGTTGCTCTATTCATATTTCATGATTTCTCATTTAACTTAGATTCTTATGGCGCTATGGTTTGGATGAAGTTAACTTTTCGTGAAACAAATACTGTACTCCCAAATGCATTAATACAGAAGCTTGCTGGAGAGAGCACATATATTTATACAACACAATTGTATAAATATACATATACCGTCTATACATATGTACTTTATATATTTGCACATAGCCATGCTACTGCATATTCATCTATTGATATAAACAAACCGAAATATGGCTTTGCTGCAGCGTTTACTCTCGATTACTGACAAGTGAGGAGGGTGGCTAGTTTGTGAAATTCTCTATGACAATGTTTTTAAATATTAGCCTAGTTTTCATATAGTCTGTTTTTGAATCACCTCCCTCTGTCACCAGCCTGAACAAAGTGCATGATTTGGAAAGTAGGTGTCTTGGGTGACAGCACGGCAAATCATATAATGCATCCCCAAGGTAATTGTAAATGACATCAGCTTCATCCATTGGTATGGATTGTCAGCACAACTACATGATTTCATTAAAGTAGGTAATAGAGAGTTGAAAGTTGAAATAAGAAGAAATCTACCTTGTATAGGATTGGTCAAGTATTTTAATAGTTATCTAACTGTGAGCATCTATCATTTTATTATCGTCCAATAACACAGAGCAAAGGGGACAAAGTTGCTGAAATATTCTCCAGCTGTTGCTCTGACTTTGCCACACTCTCCCTTAGTATTCCCCTCAGAGGTCATCTGTTCCCTCTTCCCCCTCCCCCAAAGTGAGTCAAAGTTTGCGTTTCTTCAACTAGTGAAAGG